TGCATAAAATTTAATGATTTGCATATTTAATGATTTGCATAAGCACAGTAATAGTTCTACTAGCTAAGAGGAGGGGCTGGGAGCAAATGTCACCGACTGTACAAAAGTCAGCTCACTCCAATGGCCACCTGCCATTTCATTGCACTGCAGCTCCAAAAACACAAAGCCAGGTCTAGGGGGAAATACTCATTTATGCTCTCTGTTCCTTCTACAGGCCAGAGCACAGGCTGGGAATCTGAACTAAAGAATTGTTTCTGGGGGGGACACGGGCTGGAGAGATGCTTCAGAGTTAAGAGTATTGACTGTTCATCCAGAGGACCCAGGTTCAATTCCCAGCACCCACATGGCAGCTCACAACTGTAACTCCGGGTCCAGGGTTTCTGACACCCTCACACAGACATACATGCAGCAAAATGCCAATTAACATAAAATAAAAATAAATTATAAGAAAAAGAGAGACTAGTCTCTTGGGAGAAAGTTTGCTCAGAGTGATCCTGAGTACCATAAAACGGGGCTTTTCATGAGAGAACCTGGCAGAATCAAGGCCAGCTTGTTAAAAAAAAAAAAAAAAAAAAAAAAAAGGTTTCTGGTAAGATAAGATGTTTGAGATAAGGGGTATTTGACATGACAGTGAATCCCATAAATCTACCCCTTGTGTATACTGGTACATTGGTTTATGTTCCTAACATCTAGTGCCTAAGGAAATGGGGCATTTTAGGGACTATGTTGGTACGGGGTTCCCAAGGGGAGGACAGAGAGAAAAAATTAGAAATGCTCCCCTATACAAAAGAAACCACCCTCTCTCACCTCTTCATGTAACACTCATCCTAGAGATGACCCTGTTCTCTCTCCCCTCCTGGAACCTTTATCCTGTCCCATCTCCTCCAAAACTGGTTCATTGTTGGATGAGCTAGCAGGAGGGTAAGACACCTGTAAAGGTCTGGCTTAGTGCTTCACATCCGGTGGGGATGGGTGCAAGACTATTCTCTGTTCTGTTTGTTTTGATTTGGTGTTAGAGAGGGATGCTGTGAGAATGTGCACAGCCTGCTTAGGAGCTCTGCTCAGTACAAAATGCACCCAAGAGGAATTTCAGGATGTATTCCAAAGTGGGTGCACATAAAGGTTTCCAGCCAACAACAGCCACTCAGGAAAGTCCCGTTTGTGTGAGAAATGATTCATGGCGGCTCTTTCTTAGAAGCAAACAAGGGTGATGCTTCTGCCAGTTTACACTGATTATCTGGTCTGATTCCGCTGACAGTACAAATGAGGATCAATTAATACCTCCCTTACCTACTATAGACTATTCCTAGTTTCCAGAAACAATCACCTTTGTAAATACAAAGGCAAGAGCTGATCCAACCCAAGAGACAAGTCTTTTTTGCCTTGTGGCCAGAAAAATCTTTTCATCTGATAAAAGAATGGACTCAAAATGGCGTTCCTAAAAAAGGAAACCAAGGCATGCAGCACATCACACGGACAGAAAGAAGGTGTTGGCAGATCATTATGCTCTGAACACTACAGGACTGTCAATAACTCATTATAGCTCCACAGAGCGGCACACATTATTAAAAGCACAACAACAAACTTAGTAATAAAAGTTCATATAACCAATTATGGCATATGGTTTTCTGGGAGGAAAGCAATTAGAGACAGCTGTGTCTTAAGTGTATTTCAGAAGACAGGCTCAGAGTGGGTAATTACAACTGTAAGCTCTCTCCTAGCGGTGAAAACGCACATTCATATATCTGCACACTTTGAAAGGAGCCTTTCGTACAGAAGGTCGAAGCCCAAAGTCATCCTTGCTCATAGGCCTAGAGCAAGCACCACTGCAAAGCTGGAGTTAAAAAGATGACACTGCCTTATTTTAACCAGTTCCTACGGAGCACCAGCTCCGTGTTTGGGGCTTGGGGAGAATCTGTAATGGAAGGGGGTGTGCAGTTTGCTGAATAACTACTCCTTTAAAATCAGAACTCATAAAATGTGCCATTACTAGTCCTTGTTCTTCCGAAGACCACAGTCATAACTTTGGACAAACTAGCTAATTCCTCCATGACTGATTCGTTCACCTGCATGATTCAAGGCTGCTCCTTGGCCACTTGGGGTTCTCTATCACAGTCAGTGCCCAGGAGTTCTGAAATCACTGGCTTCCTACACCTACTATGGAGGGCACTTTATGTTTTTCCCTTGCCTCACTGTATTTCATCATCACCTCAAGAAGTGGATCCACAGGAGGAACTTTAAGTGGTTTTCCAAGACACCATAGCCTTCCTCCTTTCTCTTCTCTCTCATCCCCCTTGACAGATCATGAGTCACCACATAAGATACCCAGCTACACTAGAACAACATGGAAAACCCCAGAGAATAGTGGGCCACAGCTGTAAACCCAGAACTGAGGAAGTAGAGGCAGGAGGATTGAAAGTTTGAGGCCAACCTGGCTAGACAACAAAATTAGAAAGGGGACCATTTGGGAAGAGTAGAGAGATAACTAGAAGAGATAGAGAGGAAGACAGAGAGGAAAGTGGAAGAAAAGAAATACCATGAACACACAGGGCTAATACATGTCTTAGGAAGCCTTTAGTCCTTAGCCCAGCATGTGACCTCTTCAGATATCTTTGCTAGACCTATTCAGCGCAGTCATTCCGGAAGTCCTAGCTCACCACAACAATAAGGCAGAGCACCACTATTGATGGTTTCAGCCACTAACTTTTTGGGTGATTTATTATGTATGCAGCCAAAGTAGCTGAAAAGGAACTAGGGGAGGAAAACAAACAAACAAACAAACAATAATAATAATCAGAAAACTGCTACCTACTCCCAACAAACTCTTCAGTACTCATAAGAACCCCAGAGAAGATGATAATGAATTCTTCAAGAATGGTGAAGGTAAATGTAACTCACCAGGCCGTGCAGTGAGAAACAAGAGAAACAAGAAAAATCCTGTTTTTGTTTCCAAACTGGGTGACTTTATATGGATTTCCCCGTGCTCCATAGTAGAAGAACTCTAATAAGACTGACCATGGGCCGAAGCAACTGAAGGACAGCAAAAGAGCACAGTCTGGTTAGTTCTGTGTAGGTTCTGATACTCTAGCTTTCTGGTTCCCAGCTCATGTCTTTCTTAGTAGACGAAGTACAGCAGACACTGTGTGTTTATTCAGAGGAATAACATGGGAAACTAGAAATGCAAGTAGGGTGGGTTGATTGGTTGATTGATTGATTGAGGCATGCTCTCACTATGTAACCCTAGCTGGAATGGAATTTGCTATATTGACTAGGCTGGCCTCTAACTCAGAGCCCTCCTGCCTCTGCCTCCCAAATGCTTGATTAAAGGTGTGTGCCATCATGCCTGGAACAACTTCTTTACTTCTTTACAGGATAAAATTTGAGGCTAGGCTGTCTTCAAACTCAAGATCCTGTTGTGTCTACCTCCCAAATGTTGGGTATACAGGCTGTCTTAGTCATGGTTTCTATTGCTGTGAAGAGACACCATGACTGGCAACTCTTATAAGGAAACATTTCACTGGGGCTGGCATACAGTTTCAGAGGTTTAGTCCATTGTCATCATGGAGGGAAGCATGGCAGCACACAGGCAGACATGGTGCTGGAGAGGAGGCTGAGAGTTCTACATCCAGATAGGCAGGTAACAAGGAGTAAGATGCTGGGCCCTCAAAGCCCGCCTCCCAGAGACACACCTCCTCCAACAAGGCCACACCTCCTCCAACAAGGCCACACCCACTCCAACAAGGCCACACCTCCTCTAACAAGGCCACACCTCCAGTTTCTATGGGCCTATCAGGCCATTTTCATTTAAACCGCCACATAGGCATATAAACATATTCAAGGGCAGTAAAGAAAATGGCACCAGTCATCAGCCCACAAAGACAGTGGGTTGGGAACATTCAAGTATCCTCGTGAAGCTAAGCCAAGAGTGGTGTCAAGAAAGTAGCCAATTGTGAGCTGTTGGACATAGCTTTTATTGAGCTTTCCCCTCAGCCTCCCCAGGAAGATTTCAAAACAGGAATCTTACATTAAAATGTTAGAGTTTAGGTCTGGCTAGATGGCTCGGTGGGTGGAGTGCTTGCTCATCAAGCCAGTGATCTGAGCTCAACATGAACTCATGTAAATAAAGGGAGAGAGATCTGACTCCACAACGTTGTCCTCTGCCCTTCGTGTGTGCTGTGACATACGCATTTCACATATGTGCACACGCACTCACACTCACACACACACAATTTCTAGCAACCCTTTCCTTCCTGGTCTTCCAACCAGCTGGGCCTCCCTTTGCAGAAGGGTTCTCTATTTGCCACAATCCCCATCACTCCTGACTGTTTTACACCTGAGCTCACATCCCCCTCCATGTTTCAAGTCACTGTGGGCACTGGAGTATTGTGTCTCATGACCATCACCAAGAGAAGAATTCAGATTTCAACATCCCCACCCCCAGTATCGCTTAATCATATGATCTTTCTTTCTCTACCTCTTTCTTTCTTTCTTTCTTTCTTTCTTTCTTTCTTTCTTTCTTTCT